ATCAAAGCTAATATTGTTATTTATTATCATCTATATATAGAGAGAGAGAGAGGGGTTTGTTATTATACAACCCTTGACATTTGTGCAACCAATACAGTCCAATCTCAACCGTTTATTTCATTTGATTAATATGTGATTTCATAGAAGTTTTGATTGTTTCCTAATATAAAGTATTGATCATAATTAATGAACCATATTTATCTTTCATAAATATTCAAATCATAATAAATGAACTCTCATCATTTCTTTAAATATCTCAATTTATTGGGTTGCATTGGTTGTACAAATGCGATAGGTTGTATTTGAAACAAACTCTCTCTCTCTCTCTCTCTCTCTCTATATATATATATATATATATATAATAGATGAGCGATCAAATGAAAACCACCCTCATTTGTAAAAACCGTACAAACCATCCTCATACGTCGATTTCATTGTTTAATCTTATGAAATTTTTTCATGAAATTGTTTAACCTTGTGAAATTGTTTCATATAATACTTTTGTTTGATGAATTTGTTTCATATATAGTTATGAAATTGTTTCATATAATATTTAATGAAATTTTAGGTGGCGTTTGTTTTTTAAGAGGTGCTGAAGTCTGAATTCACTTCTGAATTTTAAGAGGTGGTTCTGAAGTTTGAAATCTGAATCAGTCAGACTGTTTGTTTTTACGTCTGAAGTCTGAAATCTGAATCAATCAGACTATTTGTTTTTACGTCTGAAATCTGAATCAATATAAACATGAACCTTCACAATGAGAGATGCTTGGACGGAGAGGCAGTCGAGAGATCGAGAGCTTGGACGGAGAGGCAGTCAAAAAATCGTGAGTTGTTGACATTGAGAGCTAAGAGCGAGACCTTGAAATCGAGAGCTGAGAGCGAGACCTTGAAATCGAGAGCTGAGAGCGAGACCTTGAAATCGAGAGCTGAGAGCGAGATGGAGATGGAAGAGCGAGATGGAGATGGAGAAATCGAGAGTTGAGAGCGAGATGGAGATGGGATGCGGCTCTGAAATTGATTTCATACATAGGATTCCCACTTAATTTTAAGAGGACAATAAGAGGTAAAAAAGCTCTTAATTAAAAAAAAAAACAAACAGTTTGAAATCACTTATGTCTAAACGATTAAGAGTTAAGAGGCAATTAAGTGAAAATTTTAAAAAACAAACAGGCCCTTAATGAAACTGTTTCATGTATTTCTCTAAAATTAAAATATTGAAGATGATAATATCCATGATTAACACCCTCCACAATAAAAATGGTTAATCAACCTCTCATAATTACAAAAAAAATAAACAAAATGAAAAATTATGATCGGTTGAATGAGGTTTTCACGGTTTTTACAAATTGAATGGTTTTTATTTGAACGCTCCCTTATAGACTTGGGATCACGTGAGACCAGCCTGTTTTCGTGAGACCCGTGAGACCAGCTTTTTTACACTTGAAACTTCATAGCAAAATGCTGTGAAGGTAACCTTCACAGTGTTTTTGCTGTGAAGGTTCGACTTTTTTAAACCTTCACAGTGTTTTTGTTGTGAAGTTTCAAGTATAAAAATGTGGTCTCACGGGTCTCACGAAAACAACCTGGTCTCACGTGAACCCAACCCCTCCCCTATATATATATATATATATATATATATATATATATGGGCCTAATCAAATGAAAACTAATTAGTTTGTGGTAACCGTGAGATCCATTCTCAACCACAAATCAATAGATAAATTAGAAAATTTATAATTTTGGTAATTTTTAATTAAAATTATAATGCGATGACATTTTAAGTATTTTATCTCCTCTCTCTTATCTCCTCTCTCCTCTCCTCTCTTCTCTCTCCGTCTCCCGGCCACCGTCCTCCGGTGATACCACAGTGGCATCACAATGTATTTTATATGTGATTGGGTATCACACTGAGGTCGTTTGTGTGGTCGATCGGATATGTAACATAGTGGTATCACAATACATCTTATATGTGCTTGAATATCACACTGTGGTATCACCGGAGGAAGGTGGCCGGAGGCCGGAAAACGGGACGGAGAGAGAAGAGAAGAGAGGAGAGAGGAGAGAAAATACCTAAAATGTCCTTGCATTAAAATTTTAATTAAAAATTACCAAAATTATACATTTCCTAATTTATCTATTCATTTATGGTTGAGATTGGATCTCACGGTTACCACAAACTACTCAGTTTTTCCTAGAATGGGCCCCTATATATATATATATATATATAGAGAGAGAGAGAGAGAGAGAGAGAGGAGTGATCAAATGAAAACCACCTTCATTTGTGTAAACCTTGCAAACCACCTTTATCCGTCGATTTCATTGTTTAATCTTATGAACTTTTTTCATGAAATTGTTTAATTTTGTGAAATTGTTTCATATAATACTTTTTTTGACGAATTTGTTTCATATATGGTTGTGAAATTGTTTCATATAATACTTAATGAAACTGTTTCATGTATTTCTCTAAAATTAATGAAACTGTTTCATGTATTTTTATAAATTAAAATAATGAAGATGATAATGAGATAAACACCCTCCACAATAAAAATGATTAATCAACCTCTCATAATTACAAAAAAATAAACAAAATGAAAAATTATGATTGGTTGAATGAAGTTTGTATGGTTTGTACAAATTAAGTGGTTTGCATTTGATCGCTCATATATATATATATATATATATATATATTCTCATGAATGATAGAGATACCAAATCACCAAATCCCTTGATTTAATCTATATCATATCTCATGATTTCCACTCTGCAATAATTGTTGTAATCTTCTAGGATCGTTACGTTCTTTATTTAATGTGTGTATATATACATATATAGTGGGAGGTTAAATTAAAAAGGCTAAATATTGTGAGAAGGTAGAAACGAAGGTTAAGAGAAGATATATATGTGAATCATTGAAAAAATCTATTTGAAGATTCATATGTGAGCACATATGAATAATCTGTAACGTCGGTTTACATATGCATCTTCAAATGTATAGTTTTTTTTTCAGATTTTTTCAATAATTCACATATAAACCTTCTTTTAACTTCCTTTTTTATATTCTCATTTTATTTAATATTCTTATTTGAACCGACCCTTATATATGTATGTATGTATCCAATGCTATCAATACATATACAACTTCCAACTACTCTTTATCGTATCAAAGCACTTAATCCCTTCTCAAAAACAACTCTCTTCTCCCATTCTTCACCCATCACCTATGGAAAACCCTTCTCCTTCGTATCAAATCCAAAATAAAAATGACTCAACCAAGCAATATACCTTCATCGACACCCATTACATTGCATCAAGCCCAATCTCATGCTTTCACCCTAAGCTACTCTTCCTTGTCACCAACGTAGCCTTTTAAAAGTAATACATACATTTGATATCCATCTTGTACGCAGAAACTAATGGTTGATGATTGTGCGAGAAAAAGTTTGTGTAAAATCCATTAGTTCCTCAATGGTCGATGAATATCAAACTAATGGTTCATGAGTGTGTAAGAAAAAGTTGGAAATTGGTTCACCAAAAAAAATGTGCCCAGATATATTCCTGATGTCCGGATTGTGGTCTCGAGCGTCTGCACCTTTTAGATTTCTCACATAGAATACTTTACAACAGTTAATTCTAACATTTCTAGAAAAGTAGTTTTGTGAATGATAGATAGCATGATGCCATCACGGACGTCCACTTCCATTCAGATAGAATGTCACTTTTTTGAAGGCTTGGTTTAATGACTAATCATAAATATATCTTTTGACAATACTTGAATAATAGTTTTGAGATTCTCTCAAGCAATTAAAGCTTCTTTTTTTTTCTCATTCAAACATCAAGAATACTCATTTCAGAGACATTTGATTGAGGAATTATACTTGTATACGTACATGTGATATTCATCTTGTACGTGATTTGTTTAATTAGTTTGTGTAAAATCCATTAATTTCTAGCTTGTACGTCTTACATTGTTGAAGGTTTGTGCTCTACCCTAAGGAACATACAAAAGTGGATCGGTATCTCCATAAGGGTCTTGGGGAAAGAAGAGTAGCCATGTTGGGTTAAGCCTCTAAACCTCGGATTCATGTCTCGATCCATATTTTTATATTTTGGCAATTGTTTTTGTGATTTTACTTTCAAGACAGAATAGCAAATATGTACCAAAGACAAGCCCCCCCCCCCCCCCCCAAAAAAAGGTTGTCTAACAAATAATAGTTGTAGTTGAGCTATGTTTGCCTTAGCCAAAAAACTGTTGAAATAATCTTGTGTATGTGTGCTGTTGAGAACTAGTTTTGTTTTGCTATTATGTCCTTTCTCGGCATTAGTTCATTGATCAAATTGCTTGTTTTGTTGTTTTCTGGGGCTGCTGGAAAAAGAAAAGTTGACATTCTAGTGTCATCAATACTGAGCAATCGATTATTATCATCTGTTAGATACTAGATAACAATCCATCAAAATGTATCTTCTTTTTAAAACCGCGGGTGTCTAGGCCAGGAAAACCGGTTGCCCTAAGGGGACAAAAACCAGTGACCACTAGAGAGAAAATAATTCAAAACCTTACCATGAGCCCCCATGTTAAAATGTAACTTTATTGGTGACCATAGATGTTGTTTAGGGAGTTCAAGATTCATATGCTAAATCAATCTATGTCATGCAGTTAGATGTTGTTTAGGGAGTTCAAGATTCATATGCTAAATCAATCTATGTCATGCAGTTAGATGTTGTTTAGGGAGTTCAAGATTCATATGCTAAATCAATCTATGTCATGCAGTTAGATGTTGTTTAGGGAGTTCAAGATTCATATGCTAAATCAATCTATGTCATGCAGTTCCCATCCACGAAACAAAGAATGAACAAGCCAGCCATCAATTGAGAATAAACATAACATGACAATTCATTTGATAAATAAAACATCAACTTTTGTATTCTTCGTATTCTTACATTTACAAAAAACATAGGCATTTCCACTAAAACTCGAATGCCCATATTATAACTAGGTGAAGCTAGTGAGAACGAATATTGAGGAGACAGACCCTTGTTTTCATCAAGGTCCTAAACACACACTCCAAACTACTCTGAATGACTTCAATGTGGGATTCTAGAGCCTCATTTGAGATTTGTGGCTGATCTATACTCATCGTATTTCCTTTCCAGATCAAATTTGAAACTACTGACCATTTGGTAGACTTTGGTTTTGATACAAATATGGATTTAAGTGAGAGAACGGATCCAAATATTGAAATACTCACTTCACCAGCATTTCTTAGTGATCTAATCACAGTTGAGAGGTGGTGATCTAGATCTAAGAGTGCAATGTCGTCCCCAGTCTTGTTATCACTTTTCTTTAGTGCTGAAATAGCTCTGTTGGCATCCTTCATTAATTTCCTGAGCAAGGATGCATCCATGGACAGATTCGACTTTTTCCTTCTAAGAGCTGATTGAACATTTTTGACGTGTTCCTTTACTTGTTCCATGGTATCTTTTATAGAGCCACAGACATCCAAGAGCTTCATTGATCGATCCAACAACTCATCAACCAATTTCTCATCCTTGGTGAAAAGGGCTTGTTGGGTCAGTGGCAAACTCAGAAGATTGTTAACAGATGTGTACAATCTTTCCAGCACCACTAGAGAACCACAGACTGTATCTACAGTAGCCATAGAAGACGAAGATGCCTCCCATGTTTTGAGATAAGTGAGCTCCTCTTCAACTTGAAGAGTGCTAGGATGTGATTGGCTAGGCAAACTAATGGATCGAACATGGCGAACACTGGTGGATGATGAAGAAGAAGAAGCTGAAGAATCCATTTTGAAAATTTTGAAGAAAGATTTTAGATGTTTGTGAATTGTGATGGTATAAGAGGCTCTATGCTCAATGTATATATATATATGCAAACTTAACAGTAAGGATCAATCATAATAATGATCAAGAAGCGTGTGCAATCCTGAATTCTCGCTGGCATTGTTTCTGGTTAGCAAACAAAGCCTCATGTTATTTATTGCCATTGATTAATTAAGGAGCAAGTGGGATTCCTTTTACTCATGTGTCTTGGAATTGTTCCCAGGCCAGCCACCCCTTCTTTCATCTTTAAGGCCACAAATATATCTCGTCTTCTTGGTCTTAACACTCCATCCATGTGGCCTAGCCACCTGTCAAGACCGTGTCTTTCATGAATAACCTCGAGTTCACCTTAACCATGTAACTATGACTTACTACTAATTACTTCAACACTAAATTATAATGTTTGACTACATGATCCATTCATATGTTACCATGATTTAAACATCGTTCACGTATTACAAACTACAAAGTTATCCTGCAAGTGAAAATAGACATATACCAGTTCACCATCTAGACTAAATAATTGCTTATGGTTAATATCATATTACAAGTGATATATGGTATTCTTTAGATCATCCTTGTTCGAACTGGAAAAATACCATGCCAATAACTAGTATCTTATCTGAGCTTTAAATTTTATTTTCTATGTCATGAGAGGGCATCCAATAGATCGAACCAGGAAAAAAGTTGAAAAATGACAACTGGTACTGGAACTAAAATCCGGAATGACAAATGTTATTAGTCTTTAGATGTATATATTGCATTTTGAGCAATGTTACTTGCCAGTCAGAGGCAAAGCATCATCCTTAGAAGATAACAATTTCTAGATTTACAAGCAATGCTTAGTTATACTCCTAAGAGGCTAAGACTACTTGTTTCCTATCCAATATATGTTGAAAATTAATTAAAAATACTTTGTCTGATAGATGTACACATTACATGCTTTCACTAGAATATTAATGGGTGATTTCTGATAAGATTAGTCCTGATCAAAGCTAATATTGTTATTTTTATCATATATATTCTCATGAATGATAGAAATACAAATCCTCAAATCCCTTGATTTGGTCTGCATCATATCTTTAATTGATTTCCACTTTGTAATTATTGTTGTAATCTTCTATAGGATCGTTAGGTCCTTTCTTTAATGTATATATGTATATCCTATGTAATCAATACAAAGTAGCCTTCAGCAACTCATTATTGTATCAAAGCACTTGATCCCTTCTCAAAGACAACTCTCTTCTCCCATTCTTCACCCGTCACCTATGCAGACCCTGCCGTTCCTACCAAATTCCAAATAAAAATGACTCAACCAAGTCTTGTACCTTCATCAACATCCATAACACCATCTGTAACATCACGCTAGAGAAAACCCCAAATTACCAATCTTATAAAATTTCCAATAAAATATAATTTATTGATTATTAGGATCGAAAAATGATCCTAATTATTCTTAAAGTTTTGCCAAAACCATCAGGGCCAAGGATGGAAAATCTGAAAATGTTGCTGAAACAACTAAGTTTGGAAAAAGACCAAGGGCGAAGCATTGGTTCAGAGGCGACGCATTGGTCCAGAGGCCATGAAGGACCAGAGGCATGAAGGACCAGAGGCATGAAGGTCCAGAGGCATGAAGGACCAGAGGCATGAAGGACCAGAGGGGCAATGATTGGACCAGAGGCGAGACTATGAAGGACCAGAGGCGATGAATTGGTCAAGAGGCCATGAAGGATCAGAGGCCATGAAGGACCAGAGGGGCAATGGTTAGACCAGAGGCGAGACTATGAAGGACCAGATGCGATGAATTGGTCCAGAGGCCATGAAGGACCAGAGG